TCAAATCCCTCAAGGACAACTTCTGGGCTGTCATGGACTCTCAGGAGGCCTCCCCTGCTTATAAAGGTGAGATCTGCTGGAGGCTCTCCAGGTGAGTGTGTTACAATGGACCAGCCTTCTGAGCCCCATTCTGGGCTCCTTAGAACTAACGGAATGGCTTCATGTACACACACGCCTCATTTTACTGTGCTTCACAGGCGGTTTTTTTTTTACAAATTGAAGGCAAGACTTTCCACCAGCAAAAAGATCATGACTCGCTCTAGCCGTTTTGGCTCAGTGGGTAGTGTTGGCCTGCAGACTGAAGAGGCCCAGGTTTGATTCTGGTCAGGGGCACATGCTTGGGTTGTGGGCTCAATCCCTCATTGGGGGGTGTGCAGGAGGCAGCCAGCCGATCAGTGATTCTCTCTCATCATTGAGTGATGTTTCTACCTCTCTCTCTCCCTCTCCCTTCCTCTCTGAAATCTATCTATATATATAAAAGCCTAAGCAATGGTTTGACCATTCAACTGGTAACTATGACACGCACTGACCACCAGGGGGCACATGTTCAACACACAGGCCTGGAAACATGGAATAGACTGATGAATCTCAGAGGGCAGATATATATATATATCTATACCATTACTCGCTTCACTGTGCTTGTCTGGAAACAGTATCTCTGAGGTGTGCCTGGACTGTAGACATTGGGTCTTTAAAGGAGTATAGTTACTACTTTTCCCAAAGAGAAGTTGCTAATCTTCAAGTGACCCTCTCAGTGGGTGTGTCCCCAGCAGGCAAAAAGGCTCGCTATTTACTGGTCTAAGACGGAGGTTTAGATTGGAACATCACACCATATACTTAGTAATTCCAGACTGTGTTCCTCAACTTGTGACAATTTAGGAGGAGACCTGATTGTTTTCTAGCTTAATCACCTAGTCTCTGGAGGCCATAAACAGATGCCTGTGTTTACATTTCAATTGAATTCCTCCTAACAACATTGTAGTTGTTAGCAAGGGAAGTGGTGTTACACATCCCCAGGGTAAGACTCTCAAAGCATTTTTTGGTCTCTCTCAGGTAAAAGAAAATTGAGATCGATTTTTATGGATTTCAAGAATAAAGGCTTGGCTAGATCAATTTCTGCGTAACATGTGAGGGATGACAAAATTAAACCTGTCAGCAGGTGCTTTAATTGCCTGTAACAATTTAAACCTCCCATAATTCACCCTGAACTGCCAGGAGCGAGCTAGTTTTTCAAATGGCCACAAGAGGGGGTGAAAGGACTACATACTTGCCTAAGCACCCACTGCCCCCTTTTAACTCCCTACTTAATATATCATTTTTTGGGTACCCGAGGCTGTTTCATTTCAACAAACTTGGTGTATCAAATAAGTTGCGAGTAGTTCCCATGGTCTAACCTAACAAGTCCATGGCAATAAAGCACTCAGAGTGGACTTGTGGATGTCTCCCCCACAGAACTTGTCATGGCTGACATGGGTTAAAGTACTGTCTGATTCTTTCTCTGCTCTCCAGACTGCACGCTGTTCCTTGCTCAATGGACCGAGGAGCAGGGTCTTGGGGTCCTGATAAGAGTGGGTGAGGGACACATGGAGACGAACCCCAGGTTTACAGCCAGCCTTTGGTAGGCCCAGACGCCCTTTGAGACCCTCCAGGCTGCAGCAGAGGGCGGCAGCTGCAGCAGTGTGAGGGCCCAGGTCACTTAGATTCCCTGTAGGGGATTTTGGCTTTGAACTTTGTGCCTTGAATGAATGGGGCCTATCTCTAAGTAATTGCTTTCTGCATGAGAAAAAGTCTGTAGGTTGTGCATGAAGTTTGAGATGAAGGCACTACGGAGATTCAGATAAGGCCCTCAGTTTTTTGGGAAAACAGCTATAGACACAGCAGATGCACTGTTCCTCCTGCTCTGTTCAAAACCAGACTGAAGAGCTAACAGGTGAGACACCAGACCCACACTGGCACCACATGGCCAAGGCAGAGGTTAAAATGCCATTTAACTCCTCCATACAGGTCAGAGAATCCCCACGGGCCATGTCACCCAGCACAGTAATGCCCAGGTTGGCATCCCCTCCTCTACTGGCACTAACTCCACTCTGAATGGTGTTCCAGGAGTGAAGAAATACAACCATTCCTCCAATATGACTTCTTTCTCCGAGCTTCCGTTATCCAGATAAAAAGGGAGTTCAAAGTTGGCATGGCTGTGTGAAAGGAGCCGTCAACGCGGAGGGCCCGACATGGTTTTGCTCCTGAATTCTGATTCACTTGGTCCCAGACAAGCAGTGTGGCCTGGCTACCGCCTGCATGTCAGGTGAGGGCAGCTGGGTGCAGTCCACGCAAGTGAGGATTCCCTTGGTTTTAGCCATAGCAGAGCCACGCCCCTCTCATTCCTTCCCACACGCAGCCTGGCTTGGCACAGGAAGTCCTCCCAGGACCAATGAAACAGGCCTGTGTGGGCGACCTAATGAGGTTGGTTTTCCTGGGGTGTAACTACCCATTTCTTTATCTGGAGCCCAACTGCTGACAGGTGGCAGAGATGTTACCATTCTGCTTTCCTCAAGTCATTTTGGTTCACTCCCCTCCTGACTGGGACTAGAACTATTCCTTCCACATGATCACATCCAGCCCATTGCTAGGATGGTTCAGAGAACAGCATCTCCTGAGGAGAGCAGGCTGCTGCCCCAGGCTTTCCTGGGCAGGAGAGGGAGAGGGGCAGGATTGAGGGGCACAGGGCATCCTTGCTAGTAGCACTTAACACTAGGCTGTGCCTCAATCAAACACCAATTTCCTAATGGCTTTGCCAAGACTTCGGCCAAGTCTGTAATTTCAGGGACAAGTCTTCTTGTCCTCCACTTGGCATTTTTTGTTTTGCACCTCAATGTACAGATCCCTAAAGGAACTGCAGATCAAAAGCTCCCACCCTGCAGGCACAGGTAGATACCCAATCTGGGTAGTTATTTTTGCTGCGTTGGTTAAGTCTTGTTTCCCCTCCCGCTGCACGATGCTGCCTAGCCCTTTGCCCCTGAAGCCACGAACAGTCAGCCCTGTTGCCATGTTAGGTACCGCTGAGGCTCCCAGTCAGCTTTCCCACACGAGGGGAATATTCCAACTTTATCCTTTGACTTGTTTCAGTGGAAGTGCAGAAACCTGTATTCTTAACTACATCCTGTTTTCGCTGCACGGCATAAAGTCAGGAAAGGAAAGGGCACATACCCAGTTCTTGCTCTAAGGACTGGGACTGCCCTACAGGTGAGAAGTCCAATTGGGAGTCTGGGCTCACAGGCTGAAGGATCAGGAGTGGTGCTCCTCACAAAACCCAGCTCTGCACAGGCTCAGATCCATCCAATGTGGTGGGCTGGCATATGGAGACCAAGAACTTACGTGTGGGGGCCAAGATGAAGGATCCTCTCCTCCCACCTGAGGCTTCCATTGTCACTCTACCCCCTTTGTTCAACACTCATCTCAGCAGACAATTCAGTGTGGGTTAAAGTTCTCTCCAGACTGCACGCTGTTCCTTGCACAACACTCTAATTTCATGTTAGTGTATGTTTCTGCCGTATCATTTTCATAAACTATTTCTATAGCACCTCTATAATTGAAGTCATTACAAAATGGTGCAGGCAGCAAAGTGAGGATTTCTCAATCATTCTCCCAAATCTCTTGATCTTTTTAGTCAAATTATATTAATGTTTATCAGAAAGGAACTTATCAAATTCAGCACTCTACTTTGGTGTACTCAATAGTCCCAGTCTCTCTTGATTGGAGGTAAGATGGGATAGAAAATAACAAGACCTACTTCCTTAAGTGTCTGTAAAACACCCCCCTGCCTAACGCAGAATCATCAAATTAGGGGCATCAGCTGGTACAGAATGTGACAGACATTCTTTCCACCATCATCATTCCACTGCATAAAGCTAAAAAGTATACACTTGTGGATGCATTTCTTTGTCTTCACTAAGTGGTTTTAATGACTGAGCAAATAATTACAGTGGGGCCTTGACTTACGAGTGTCCCGACTAACGAGTTTTTCGAGATATGAGCCGTCTCTCGGCCGATTTTTTGCTTTGAGTTGCGAGCTAAAATTCGGGTTACGAGCCAGCTTCAGATACCCCACCGCTAGTTGGCACGCGCACGTCACAGTGAACGCCACATCAGCCCAGCATCACGTGTCTCACTCGTTCACTTTATGATTTGACATACGAGTAATCTGAGTTATGACCTCTGTCACGGAACGAATTAAACTCGTAAGTCAAGGGCCAATGTACTACTCAATCAGAAGCAAAAGTTTGAAACTCAAGATAAGCTGCAGAAATCTCACGATTAACAACTGCAAATCATATTATTTCTTGCACCACATCAGCTCCCATGTGTTATCACACGTGGCTTTCACTTTCTTTGGCAAAACACACCAAAACCATAATGCAGTGAATACGGCTTTTCTGGCTAGAAGCCCTGGGCTGGCATCCCAACACTGGCACTTTCTGGCACTCAAGGGAAGTTAACCTGAACCCAGTGTCTTCCAGCTCTAAGGTGGTATCACTATCACCCACACTTGCAGGGCAGTGCCTGTGACTACACTTACTTATGTCATAAGCCTACTATATTACCTGGCACTTGGGGATACTTATGGTGGCAGTGCAGTAACATAACCGTAAAAAACATCTAAAGAATTCCATGTGCTAATACCTTCGTTTAAATTATACTTCACATATTTTTTTTTCCTTATTCCTCACCCAAGAATATGTTTTTACAGAGAGAAGAAAGGAGAGAGAAAAACATCAGTGGGTTGCCTCCCGTACGGAACCTAGGTATGTGCCCTAACCTCCAACCCACAACTTTTTGGGACGATGCTCCAATCAACTGAGCCAACCGGCCCAGGGCTACTTCACATTAGCTTTTCAAGATTTAACACTATATTCTGGCAGATTCTTTCCCCTGGCTGAGTTTATTCCTCGTTTCTATTATTTTTAAGTCAGTAAATGAAGAACGCAAGGTACATTATTAACAAATGTTATCTTCTCACTTTGGTTTTAACAGAAGCTGAAGCTAATTAGAAAGAATACTTACAGAATGAGAACACCAATTATGAAAGACAAAATATATGTGCATCTCGTTTAGATTTGAGACCCTAACTGTTCACAGAAGAATTCATAGGTTTTATTGTTAAGCTGCTACATACATGGTTCAATACAACAAAAAACATTTATCAAGTGAAAAGTAATAAACTGAATAAACAAATAAACACTCAAAACAAAATATTTTCCATTGGAAACATGTTAAGATGAATATGGGGTTTCGTTACCATCTTACTGCAATCTTCTTATGTGTTACTAGCCTACATACCCCATGTTTTCTGTAATCATGCAGATGATGTGAATGGAAGTTTGAATGATTAAATAAATGAAAAGTCCGTTTACTGCAGAGAATCATTTCACAAGGCAGCCAAACTGGATTTAGAGAATAAAATTATTCAAGAAATTCTCCATGTATTTAGGTTCATTTTAGAATCCATGAACCTTAAGCTGTTCCTCCTTGACAATGCCAACCTGCAAAATAAAACTTAATTTAGCAGAATCACGCTAAGGACTATATCAATTCACCCCTAAGAAAACATGGAGCAGCCATTAAGAAGCAGCATTGCTAATAGCTTATCACTTTTTTTTTGGTGGCACCAACTGTTAACAACAAACGGTTCCAGTCACATGAGTACCCTGACATGCCACAAAACACCATGTACAAGCAGGGGTGATCCAGCCATTCCAATGACAAAGCCATCGCAAGGGTGTCCACAAAGCACCCACTCACCTCCAAGAGAAACTGGCAAATGTTTTTCCTCTGGTCCCCTTGAAGCTGAATAACCTCTCCGTACTCGGGGTGCTCAATCACAGTACCATTGCAGGCAAATTTCTGGAGGAGAATATACATGTCCAACAGAACTGAGTCAAACACTGAGGTTTTATTTTCGCCGTATGACTAAAATCAACTACTCCGTAGCCTTGACTATGTTCATGAAACAAGTTTGTCCCTTCTAACCCCCAACCCCCAACACTCCCAAGGTAATTTGAAATGAACCAGGTCACATAATAAAGGCAATGATGTTACTTGGACCATCAGGAACTACATTATGTCGCCTGCTGCTAGAAGGCCACGTCAATCTTAGGTTAAGACGGGAGGCCAGACATAAACACCTGAGTGTGAAGTGGGAGAATGAATACAGCCTTCCTGGACCCGCACTGCTTAGCTGTGAACCATCATCCAATGCAGAGGTGCGCATCCGTGACCCCGCTTTAACCTCTCCTCCCTAACACCTGTACCTTTTTGAAAGCTTTCACAAGTTTCTTTTTGTCATAATCATCTGCAATGCCCTGGACAGTGGTCAGCGTCTTCCTGCCGTTCCGTTGCTGGATTCTTATATGAATGTAATCCTCAGTCCCTGCCGGGAGTAAGTCGTCACCCTTAGTTGCATCAGCAAAGGGGTCTGCAAAAGGGAGACAAAAACAGTCAAAAGCAGGAAATACCGTTTAGTCGTTAGTTTTCCAGGTCTAGGGTGGGCTGCAGTTTAGACAGCCAGCAGAGAAGGTTCTATTGTCCCCCCCACTTTCCACGAATGGGAATGGGGATGGGGGGGGGCGGGGCATAAATAAAATCTCCCAGGTGCTCCCGCAAAAGGAGAACGCTTTGCAGGGCACGGCCATGGCCATCCCGGCAGAAAGATGTTCTAGGGAGACAGCGTCACCGCTGAGCACGGCCCGCTAACGAGACAAGAAATGTTAAGCCCTTATTTTATAGCCGCCATAAATAATGTGCTTTTCCCTGACCGGTTTGGCTCAGTGGATGGAGCGTCGGCCGGCGGACTCACGGGTCCCAGGTTCGATCCCGGTCAAGGGCATGTACCTGGGTTGCGGGCACATCCCCAGTAGGGGGCGTGCAGGAGGCATGTTTCTCTCCCATGGATGTTTCTAACTATCCCTCTCCCTTTCTCTCCGTAGAAAAAAACAAAAAACAATAAAACATGTTTTTTAAAAATGTGCGTCACCGCGATGACATTCTGCTGACAACAGGAACATTCAAGTCCCCCAATCATGTCACCGTGAAGGTGCCGTGCAAAAAGGAACAACAAAAAAACGCACCCATGTACACGTGTGTGTGTGTGTGTGTGTGTGCAGAGATCGAGGGGCGTCATCTGACAAACGACTCTCCCAGCGGAGGAAAGGGGGCCCCGGGGCCCCGCGGAGGCCGGTCTCCGCATCTTTCACTAAGTGC